CTATTAGTTATTGGGTTTCTTCTTTTTAAATTTTCAGTCAATTAGGGTTTTTTATGTTTAACTTTTCTTACTACTTGTAGGTTTTCTTTTTTTGCTCTGGTAAGGTAATGGGCTCTATCGATTTGTACGTTTTTGAAATCTGTTGACTTTGAGAGACAGAAAGACTCCGGTGACGTTTTATAATGATTTTTGATGAAAAAAAAAAAAATGAAACCCCTTCTTTACTGATGATATACAGATCCGATAAGTCAGAGAAGTTCTTCTGACTGAGGGAAGTGTGGGCGGAGAAGGGAGGCTAGAGACTTAACAAACTTCTCCTCACCTTCCCTAAAGAGCACTGTGGGATCCTTAGAGTTAGCTGAATAAGATTTTAAAACTGCTGCTTGTTTAAAAATGTTTATATACATCTACAGATAAACTTAAATTTTTATTATTAAAATTTTTTCCCCCAAGTCAATCTGCTAAGGACTGAGAATAGTGTGTCTCAGGCTCAGCAAATGCATCTCTCTGACATCTCCCCATTACTGGAAGCTTTTAGTTTGTGTATTTCACTTCTCTGGAATTTGATGATTAACATTTTGTACTTACTCTCTTCACCACAGGCAGCATCACTTAGTAACATAAAACTACTGACATTGTTGTCTTTTAACGCTTTTCCCCTCTAATATTCTTTATTCTGAAATAGTAATTGCTATTATTAGCATCTGAGTTTGTCGGATATACCTCTGATTGTTCTTTTACTTTTACATGAGAAAAAAATCAACTATAACTATATTTCTATTCTTACAGAATATACATACATAGGCATAATAGTATGCATGTAAAGATATATGCATTTCTATATATACCATCTGTATGTACATACATAAACTATATCTTTCCAGTATATAAACTCTGCATTTCTTAATCTCATGTACACTTAAATTTTAAAATTTTCTCTGGGCCTCATTTTTAAACTCAATGTTTTTATTGTTTTTCATATTTGTAAACATTTATCTTACTAGGGTTAGCCTTTTTTCTTTTATGATGAATCTTTTTCTTTTTTAAAGATTTTATTTATTTATTTGACAGACAGAGATCACAAGTAGGCAGAGAGGCAGGCAGAGAGAGAGGAGGAAGCAGGCTCCCTGCTGAGCAGAGAGCCTGATGTGGGGCTCCATCCCAGGACCCTGGGATCATGACCCAAGAAGGTAGAGGCTTTAACCCACTGAGCCACCCAGGCGCCCCCTTTTATGATGAATCTTATCTAAGATATTTTTGAAAACTTAGTCTTATAGGCATTTTATTTTACTATTATAATTACAAAATAATAATAATAGAAAAGGGGAATGGTAGAAAGAACAGACTTCAAAATGAGAAGATGGAGAATGTCTACAGCAATCCACATCTCTGGCTTCTTCAGTGAGTTTTCCAGTATACTTAGCTCCACAAACAATAACACTGAGTTTCAACTTCCCTAGGGATCATTACCTCATTATGCTTGAGGCACAACTGAATATGAACCTGATTTCTCCAATCATTCAGCTTTTATGAGAAACTTTGTGTTTTAAATCTATGGCCAATCACTTTAAGTTAAATTCAGATGGCCACCTGGAATGTTATTCAATTTTAAGCCAATTACAAACATTTTTAAGAGATCTTAAACTTTATGTATTCTACTCTGCTTTATTTCTAGATTACAGTATCAGGCCTTTGAGGTTTTAGCACCCTATTTTTTTTTTTTTAAGATTTTATTTATTTGACAGACAGAGATCACAAGTAGGCAGAGAGGCAGGCAGAGAGAGAGGAAAGGAAGCAGGCTCCCTGCTGGGCAAAGAGCCCGATGTGGGGCTCCATCCCAGGACCCTGGGATCATGACCCGAGCCGAAGGCAGAGGCTTTAACCCACTGAGCCACCCAGGCTCCCCTTAGCACCCTATTTTATTTAAAGGCTTGTCTCTCTGGTAGGCTCTAATCTTTGCTTTCTTGTTTACTTTTAAACAAGAAAGTTTAATCCTCAGTTTGAGGATTAGTCAGAAGGTAGAGTTCACCCAACTTTTTGCACATTTATTCTTTACATCCCCCTCATAAACCTAGTAGTTTATTAGACTAGGTATTTTACTTGATTGATGATAAACTTGAGCTTCTCAGGTTCCTTCACAGTAGAGCTGTGAGTGACCATAGTCACTCTGTTAAGAAAACCCAAAGATGGGGCACCTGGGTGGCTCAGTAGGGTAAGTGTCTGACTTTGGCTCAGGTCATAATCTCAGGATCCTGGGATCAAGCCCCACTTTGGGCTCTGTGCTCAGTGATGAGTCTGCTTCTCCCTCTCCCTCTGCTTCTGCCCCTGCTCATGCTCTTTCTTAAGTAAACAAATAAAATCTTTTAAAAAACAAAAAAAACAAAGCTATTTGCAGTTTTTGTGCAACCCTCTTGGTCTTTGGTTGACACAGTCACATTTAATTGATTGATGCTCAAAAATTACAATGTAAGAAACAGGATTAACAGTAAAACACACCTGTGTCATTCTGGGGTGGGGGTTAAGTAGAGGAACTCAGAGGAGTTGTGAGCATTCAAATGTTTTTTATTATGTTTACCAAATCTGCTCTTTCCTAACCCTCAAAGGTAATTTTGAACATTATTTTAATCTTTATTGGATAATTTGTAAGGATCTTCAGAGGCAATGGATCATAGATCTCTACAATACATATATACCCAAGTGTTAAAAATTTGGTGCTGGAGGAAAACTAAAATAGGGTAAGAGTTAGTTAAGTGTCATGATGAACGACAGGCAAGTAGAAATGGAAGTAAAAATCTAGACTTTTTATATTTCAAGTCATATAATCTTTAATAGTGTTGAAGTAAATTATGAGCTCAAAAAAAAAAAAAAAAAAGCCAAGAACACACAGAAATCACCTAAAAACAACAGGAAAGAACTCATTTTTTCTTGTATGCTTGCTCAACGTTTTGAGAAAAAGCTAGGATCCCAAGTGGGTTTTTATGTCTATAAAATTTTTTTCTCTTCTAAATCACATTTAAGAAAAAAAGAAAGAAAGCAAAACAATAATAAGCTTTGTTGGTAGGCCTATACCATTTTCATACATTCTTGGGAAGGAGGTAGCAAACAAAATTTCTGCAACAGTAAGTGATGCTTAGAGAAAAATGAAATCACAGAATGATGCCAGGACTGATTACCCCCCTGCACTTGAAAAGCAGAGATTGCAGTCTGCGAGTCCAAAGTGGTTTCATATGGACTGCTGCCGTTGTGGTTTACGCTTGAAACTATAACCTGTCAAATTAGAAGCAGGCAAGGCCGATGCTCTTAACAGTCCCACTTTCTACTGTCTACAGTTACGTCTAAGTTCAGCACTTTTTATTCAGTTAAACTCTGTTATTTGGATGAGTAGAATCTCAAAACTGCTCTCTGTTCTCTTGCTTGGAGAAGATTTTAGTTATGATATAAAGCTTAAAGACCTGCCAATCTGATTTTTATTACATAGATGAAGCTGACTGCGTTGTAGCCATTTTCACCAACTATTGCTATTTTATTATCCTGGTTACCACTGTGTAATATATAACTGCAGGGAGGACGTATATAAACTGCATCAGTTCCCATGCTTTTCCTCTCCTGCCTTTCCGGATACTTTTTTGACTTTAACTTGTACCTTCCTGACTCATCATTTTTCCTAGCCTACTGTAGCCTGTTATTATTAGCTTAGTGCTACAGCATGCTCCATTTCTTCTCTTCTTCCTGATTATGGAATGCCCTTCCAGGCAGTGGGCTTGGTTGACAGAGATTTTCCCCAAAAGTTGAAAAGCTACTTGTTCTATTTCATTAATGTTTCACGTATAGTCCTTCCTTCATGAATCTTTCTTAATGCCCATTAGTTTAATATAAAAATGTTTTTTTAAAAAAGCATAAACAATATTTGCTCTCTGTATAATGCATCATAAGTGAAACCATGCCACTAAATGATCATATCCTGTTTAGGCCATAATGACATCAGAAATATATGTTTATCATTTGCTTTGGACAACTTAGCATGATTTTGGCCCAAGGCGAAGTTCAACTAAAACCATTTGCAGTTGCCCCAAACCAAGATAACCACACATTTTTAAGGTAATTGATACCTAAAGAGACCATTGCCTTTAGATCACAGTTCATGATCTAAGCATACTAATTCTTTAAAGAGGTTGTTAAAGTTTACAAAGCATGCATGTCTATTGGACTTCCTCCAGAATTTAACATGAAATAATCATATTTTTAGCATGCATAGAGATTATTAGCATGGTCTTTTGGAGTTCTGGAATTACCTCTCTTGCCCAATTTAAAGAGAAGGGGAAAATGGAGATTTTTTTTTTAAACTGTAAAAGTATTATAATAAGGGTGATAAGAACAATGCTTTGTATTTTGGAAGGCACTCAAATAAAATCAGTCATTTTTATTTCTGAATAAGTATGTAAGGAAACAGTAATTTTATGAATAGATAGCTTAGGCAAACAGAAAGCACACAATTTTCACATGTATTATGAAAACATGTCCAGGGAACCCAAACACATGGCACTAACTTTGTGTTATGGGGCTGGAGAGCACGTACTTGCCCTGGATACTACCTCAGCTAGTTAGTCCATTCAGAGCCTGAAAGATAGCTCTTCATGCCACATGCCAACAAAAAAGTGGGGAAATTACCTTTGCCCACAAAGATAAATGGATGATTTGGAACAAAAAATAAGTTTGGAATAAAATAGTATCAATAGAAGTTAGGCCTAGCAGGAAGCTTAGGGAAATCTATTTGTATTTAGAGGAGGAAAGAGAGAAACAGAACACTGAAGTTGTCTCCCAAAGTCTTGGCTGAAGGCAGAACTGGACACCCGTACAGGGCGACTCCAGGCGCCTTCAGACATGCAAACACTGTTCTGGGCAATTCAGATAACAATTAAAGAACATTAAAAATAGAACCACATAGCATAAGTACTGCAGTAGGTATTCTATTACATAAGAAGGAGAAGAGTGTACCGTACCTCCATTCTTTCTTGCTTAACTTCATCGATCTCATCATCTTCAAACATTGCCAGGAGTTCTCCTGTTTGGTCAATAGAGTTGAGAAAGTCTTGGGCGATCTTCTGTCTTTTGTTCGCATTATTGCTGCCACTCAGTTTGTCTTCATGAACATAAGGGAAGGAACAAAATGTGCTTAACAGGTTTACATCAACACTAATCACTACATGTATCAAATACTACATGTGAAATTCAGAATTGGGAGTTCTCTCAAAATAGTCTTTAAAGGGAGAATCTTTGCATCCGAAACAAAAGCATAAGCCATGCAGAATTAAATCATTTACTCATGTCATGAGTAAAGTTGAGACAATTAAACACCAAATTGTCAATCAACACAGTAACTGCAAAGGGACTGTTAAAATTCCTTAAAAAAAAAAAAAAAAGAGTCCTCGCATATTTAGAAAAAGAATCCTGTATATATGGACCACATCTTTTTTTACCCATTTTTCTGTTGAAGGGCATCTCTGCTCTTAAGGAGGGCATGGATTGCATGGAGCACTGGGTGTTATATGCAAACAATGACTCTTGGAACACTACATCAAAAACTAATGACATACTGTATGGTGACTAACGTAACATTATAAAAAACAAGAAAAAAGAAAAAAAAAAGAATCCTGCTATAGCAAGCCTAATTCAGAAAATAAATAAAAACACTTAAATAAAAAACATCAAGACTGAGATCTGAAATTAAAAGGAGAGAATATTATGTATTTTATTGTGGCAATGTATTTGAAGCATAAAGGGACAAGATCTTACACTTTTTCTCTTAAGAGGTAAAGCTACCATACGTATCTAGAAGCAAAACATAACTTTAAAAAATTATTGCAAAAGATCAAGGAGTGTAATATTACAATAGGCAATTAATAGTTTAATGCATTAATATCAGTGTGGATTAGGAAGAAAGAACTAAATTATTTTTTTAAAGTGATAAAATACAAGTGCAGATACCAGGTAAAGAAAACCCAAATATCTTAGGGTGAAAGCATCCGATTTTTCACCATTAAGTATGATATGAACTATGGGTTTTCCATAGATGGCTATCCTGGTCTATTTACAGCACAGACAATAATAAATATTTAAATATATCATAGATGGGATGGCTTAAAACAAATACTTATTTCTCACAATTCTAGAGGCTGGAAAATTCAAGATTAGGTGCTGGCACACTTGGTGTCTGATGAAAGCCTGCTTCCTGGTTTGCAGATGGACTGTCTTCTCCTATCCTCATATGGGCAGAGAGCAAAAGCAAACTCTCCTGTGTCTCTTCTTAGAAGGGCACAAATCCCATTCATGAAGGCCCCTCCCTCATGACTTAATTGCTTTCCAAAGGCTCTACCTCAAAATACCATCACGTTGGGGATTGGGCTGCAAAATACCAATTCTGGGAGGATACAAACATTCCATTCATAGCAATGACCTTTATCAAGCTGAGAAAGTTCCCGTCTCGGTTTTTTGAGTGTTCCTCTTATGAAAGACTTTTGAATTTTTTTCAAATAATTTTTCTATATTTATTGAGATGATCATGTGATTTATGACCTTTATGATGTATTGTATGAAGTATTTTCTAAATTTAAACCAATGTTCCATTCGTGGGATAAACCCCATTTGGTCATGGTATATAATCCTTTTTAGATGTTGCTGGATTTGGTTTACTGAATATTTTGTTAGGGATTTTCACATCTATATTAAAAAAGATGTTATAGCATCCTCCTGAATGGCAAAAGATATTTGTAAATGATATATCTGCTAAGAGCTTAATATCTAAAATATACAAAGAACTTACACAATTCAATAACAAAAACCCCCAAATAATCTGATCAAAAATGGCCAGAGGACTTGAATAGATATTTTTCAAAGAAGATATACAGATGGCCAACAGACATGTGAAATGATGCTCAACATCACAAATCAGGAAAATGCAAAACAAAACCACAATGAGATATCACCTTACACCTGTGAGAATGGCTAGATTAAAAAAAGGCGAGAAGTAACAAGTGTTGGTGAGATTGGTGAGATGTGGAGAAAAACAACAACAACAACAACAAACCCTTGTGCATTGTTGGTAGGAATGGAAACTGGTGCAGCCAGTATGGAAGAAGGTATGGAGGTTCCTCAAAAAATTGAAAGTAGAATTATCATATGATCCAGTAATTCCACTACTGGGTATTTACCCAAAGGGGGGAAAAAAAACACTAATTCAAAATGATAAATGCACCTATATGTTTTTTACAGCATTATTTATAATAACCAAATTATGGAAACAACCAAAGTGTCCGCCAATAGATGAATGGATAAAGAAGATGGACACACACACACACACACACAAACACAATGGAATATTACTTAGCCACACATACACAAAACACAAGATCTTGCCATTTGCAACAAAATGTATGGACCCAGAGGGTATAATGCTAACTGAAGTACTTCAGAAAGAGAAAGGCACGTATCTCATGATTTCACTCATATGTAGAATTTAAGAAACAACCAAAGAAAAAAAAAGGACAAATGAAAAAACAGACTCTTAAATTCAGAGAACGAATAGATGGTTGCCAAAGGGGAGATAGGGTGAGGAAACTGGTGAAATACATAAAGGAGCATAAGAGAAACTTCCAGTTACAAAACAAGTAAGTCACAGAGATGGAAAGTACAGCATCAGGAATACAGAAAAGCAATGTATTAGTCTTTAGTTTTCTTTTTGTCTTTGTCTGGTTTTCATATCAGCATAATACTGGCCTTTTAAAATGAGCTGGGAAAAGATTGGTGTTAATTGTGCTTTAAACAAGTGGTAGAATCCATCATGAGGTCATTTAGCCCTGGGTTTTTCTTTGGGGAAGTCTTAAAATTATTAATTCAAAGAATTTACTTGCCATCGGTCTACACATGTTTTCTATTTCTTCTTGATTCAGTCTCAGTAGTTTGTGTTTTCATAAGATAAAAAGCAGGTATTTATAGAACTGGTTATATTAACTATTGTATTTACCGTTTGTTTCTTTTCATTTCTTTCTGTAATTGGAGAAGCTATCTTGTGTCACTCCTTCCTCCAACACAGCTTCGTTACCACCCACCTAACTTATGTTGTTACTGTCAAATATACTGTAATATATAACTACATGTATCTACATGTGTATATCTACGTTATAGACTTAACAGTACAATTATTATATTGTTTCATACATTGTTTTTGTTAAGAGAAGAAAGGGGAAAAGATGCAATTATATTGTCTATTTTACTTACATAATTACCTTTCAGGTACTTTTGTGTGTCTATATGTATGTGTGTGTATGTGTATGGAATGAAATTATTGTCTGGTGCCACTTACTTGAGCCATAAGAACTAACTTTCCTATTTTTTTTGGTAAGATTTCATTTTATTTATTGACAGAGAGAGGCACAGCAAGAGAGGGAACACAAATTGGGGAAGTGGGAGAAGGAGAAGCAGGTTTCCTGCTGAGCTAGGAGACCAGTGTGGGGCTCAGTCCCAGGACTCTGGGACCATGACCTGAGCTGAAAGCAGATGCTTAACAACTGAGACACTCAGGTGCCCCACTTTCATATTTTTTAATATGGATTTGCTACCAAGAAATTCACCCAGTTTTTATTTATGTGGGAATATATTTCATTTTGTCTTCACTTTTAAAAGATAGTTTTGCTAGATATGTTTCTTGGTTAACAGGTTTTTTTTGTTTTTGTTTTTTAAGCAATTTGAATATGTCATTCTATGGCTATTCTGACATACATATATACATAAATATATATTGTTTTTTTAATCTATATTGTTAATGAGAAATCAGCTGTTAATATTGCTGGAGCTTGACTGGATGTGAAGAGGTGCATTTCTCTTGCGGCTTTTGTGATTTTCTCTTTGTCTTAGTCTTCTTACATTTCTAGAAGAACATGTGTGAATGTGGATCTCTATATGATTATCCTAATTGGAGCTGGGTGACCTGCTTGGATGTAACGATGCTGATCAAAGCAGAGAAGTTTCAATCATTATCTCTTTGAAGATTTTTTCTGCTCCTTTGTATCATTTTCTTTCCTTCTGGTAGTCCCATTATGTATATGTTGGCTCATATCATGATGCCTCAGATTTCTCTGTTAATTTTTCTTCATTCTGTTTTTCTGTTTTTCAGATGGTATAATCTTTTAACAATCTGTCTTCAAGTTCAGATTCTTTCTTCTCACTTCAAAGGTACAACTGAGACTCTCTACTAAATTTTTCATTTTAGTCATTGTGCATTCCAACCCCAGAATTCTCAATTGTTTCTTTTTTATGATTTGTTTCTATATTTTATTCTTTTTTAAAGTTTCTAAAAGTTATTAAACTTTTTTAAAGTTTTATTTTATTATTTATTAAATTTTAGTTAACATTCAGTATAGTATTAGTGTCAGGTATACAATATAGTGATTCAACACTTCCACACAATACACAGTGCTCATCAGAACAATTTCTTAATTTCTCTTAATCCTTAATATCTCTTGATATTTTCTATCTTGTGAGACATTGTAATCATACCTTCCTTTTGTTCCTTAAAAATGGTTTCTTTTATTCTTTGAACACATTTATGATTGTTACTGTGAAGTTTTTGTGTGGTAAGTCCAACATCTGGGCCCCCTCAAAGGCAGTTTGTGTTGTCTGCTTTTTGTTCATTTTTAATGGATCAGACATTTTTTTTTCTTTTTTTCTTTTTTTTGCTTGTCTAGTATTTGGTGGTTATCATTGGTGAAAATGGGTATTTTATCTTGTAGCAACTCTAAATAATAATTCCCTTTTCTTCCTGGGGCCTGTTGTCATTGTTTGCTTGTTTGGTTGTTTATTTGTTTAGTGATTTGGATAGACTGGTTCAATAAAATCTTTTTACCTCATAGCACGTGGCTTCTGAAGTTGTTCCCCAGAGAGCACAACTGTGAGCATGCAATTGGTCTCCTCAGTCACCAGGGATACTGTGGTATTAGTCAGTTTCTCTTTGGCTGTCATTTTTCCTGATCTCTCCATTAAGGTTCGGGCTGGTTTGATTCCACATGGGTATCACACACAGCTGTTAGCTTCCACTGACTTCTGGCTGATTGCTCTATTGTTTTTGATAATACTCTTGGGCATGTTCCACAGATTGGTCTGAATGACGTCAGGCCCCTTTGCAGAGTCCAGATATTACCAGCCTTTACATTTTTCTCTGACCCCAGAAAGATTCTTCTTAGCTATCTCTTCCATTTGTTTCCTCTGTCAAACCTTTAGCTGACATCCTGTTTTATTTGTTGTCACTAGTATCACGTAGCTTCCAGCTTCCCCTTAATTACTCACAATCAGGATTTCCATAGTTTTTTTTATAGCATCCTTAGGTATGAACTTCCACATGCTCTGTTCTAAAATGTCAGTCCTCATAGAGAAAGCTGCCGAGCTCTCTCTTATCAAAGCCTGTCTCTCCCTCTGGGCTGAACCTCTGTATCACTGTACTGGCTTTTCCTAGAAAGATTCCTAGATCTATAAGTGGAGAGCTAGGCAGGGATGGTAGGCCACTGTCTTCTAGGCTTCTCCCTTCTGGTGTGGAGCTTTACTTCAAGCTAGGTTGGGGCAATCAGGGTCCAGTACTCTTAGCCTGTCATGTCTGGGGTAGAGCTTTCCTATGAAGAGAGAATGGGTGGAAACTCTGGTCCTTTTAACTGTGCCTGCATGGAATAGAGCTTCTGCAACATGGAGCCAGAGGAGATCAGAGATGCCAACCTCCTGGGGGGGAAACTGTTGTCCTACACTGGTAGCTGAAAGAATCATGTGTCCAGTGTTCTTGGAAACACTTGCTCAGAGTTATGCTTCTACCATACTGAGCTGAGGTTCCAGGAGGAAAGAGGAGGGGTAATGGGAGCAGGTCATGGCTCAAATAAAACACACTCTCACTGTTCTTAATGAGATTTGGATTTTCTTAAATATGTACCTCTCCATTTGCTGTATACCCTTAACAACAACTTACAGAGACTTCATGCCATTACTTTTTAAAGCTTTCACCAGTAAAATGTGTTTTACTGGGAAAAAAGTCTATCCTCATATGGCCATTCTCAAAGTCCCACCTCAGTATTAGATACATTTTACCGGAGTACTTTATCTTATTAAGTTACATCAACTATTTTAAAACTTTATGTGATACTAAAAACTAGAAAATTTAAATGAAATTAAAGAGATGAGATCTGAAATAAATAAGGAGGAGAGGGCATCAGACAGATATGATATTGCTAGTACAGCTGAATACTAGTCTCACCACTCTGAGCTTCTTGTGTTCTGAGTTTGGTATTAAAAGCTATCATTTATTCAATCTCAGGGATGTATCAGGTGATTTTCATACATTATGTTAAACTCTCATAAGAACTCCACTATGGTGAGTGGTATAATTTTTGACTTAGGAGAAAAATGATACTCAAGTTCACATAGAGAGAAAGCAGAGAACTGGGAAAGACGGGAATTCAGGTCTGTATTCCTTATGCTCTTCAAAAAAGGAAGCATGTAAATTCAACTGGAGAACTACTTACCAGAGATTAAATTCTATGAGAATTGCAGGAATATTAAATAGGCAACACTGATTAAATATTTGATATGAATTTGTTTGTTTTTTGCATGGTAATTACACTTACTTAATTTATTGAAGTTATGTAAATCTAAATTTACTTCCAAAATTTATTAACTCTTCAGTGGGTTTTAAGCAGTTTTCTGAAGTTCTCAATCCAAAAGAGTTTATTTATCAATGTATTTATTAGCAATGGATAACCACTATGCAGTGACTATATTCAACACAAATACATAAATTATTTTATAGCATGTATTTATTTTGACTCAGTAAGTATTGTTTAGTACACTTCTGTTTTCAGCTTAGCACTGCTTGATTCTGCAATATTAATATCTTTTTCTAAATATTCTGAAATGGAATTGAGTTGGAAAATCAGAGAAGGAAAATTTTCTATCCCGTGTTAGGCTGTTGGTAAGATTTCAAATAGCACAGTAATAACACACCAAAATGAGGTGACTTTACATCATACTGCATATCAGATACTTTCTATAATAAATTAAGAAAAACCCATATGTGAATTTCAGAGATCTATAATAACAGTTCTGGCTTCCTATACCCACAACAGAAAAATTATGCTTGCTAAGATCAATTATGTTTTGAATCAACACGATTTTCTCAGTTTCATGACATTCTGATAAAAAACAGGCCATATGATTAAAAGAACTGACATAGCAGATTACTGTGAAGCCATGTAAATAGAAAATCACAAGATTTAGCTGCCAACTAAATAGCTACTTGGATAATTTCTAAGCTACATTATTTAACAGAAGCACATATATTTCACTGTGATGGGAAAGTCCACACTGACATTTTATCAGTGTGTCAACCATCACGCATGTCACATTGCTCTCAGTGTTTTTTGGGTTACCTTCCAGAAGGTCATCCTCATCTATACCCTTGACAATCTTGGATTTGTAGTCTCGGAAAAACATGTACTTTAGCAGTCTTCTAAGCTTTTTCTGTTGAAAATATGAAATAAGAAATCTTATATATTATTACATTCACTTTACTGTTTGCAGAATACTATGATAACTAAATTTAATAAACTTCTATTCTAGGATCATGGGGAAAATACAGCAATTCTTACCACAATACTATGGAATAAAAGATGTCATCACATTAAACATAAAAGCTAAAAAATAAACATTTTTGAAGGCACTTTTCATTTGTAAGTATCCAAATGTTCCAGAATTACAATGATTGCTTTTTTTTTTTGTCTTACAAAAAGTTTTAAATTCTTCCTGAAGACTATGATATCACAGTCTCCAAACTAAGATAACTATAGTGATTTATAAACATCTAGACAAGGATTTTATAACAACTGCTTTAAAAAAGCCAAGCAACTTTCCTTTTCATTGTTTTTTAATCTCTGGAAATCTTTTATTTTTTTTTTTAGAAGAGTTGGTTTATGTTTTATATTTCTGAAAAACATTCTATAATCTGAGAAATATGTTTTAATGTGACTCAATGCTGATGAATGATAGATGGGTCTTGATGGTTTTCTTTAGTTTTTTTTTTTTTTTTGACATTTTTTTCTTTGTTTTTATTTATTTATTTTATTTTTTTCTTTGGTTTTCCTTAGGTTTATTAGAAGACCTTAAAACTGCTTAACTTTAAAGGTAACTGATAATACTCTGTAATTTGTTGTGTGCTTACAATTGGGATGTATTATAACTGGTTCCTGACCTTCAGGGTTGAGATTCCTAATTATGGCTGAAACATAGTACATTTTACAAAGCTCTTTTACAAGCACCTTATTTGATCAATCCTGAAATACAGACAAATAAAATCATCTCCTTTTTATATATAGGTAAACAGGTTAAAAATAGCTTTACAACTAGAGCTTAGCAGGGCCAGAGGTAGAACATAAGCATTGGAACTCAGTTTCTTTATTTACGATTTTAAGTAAAGTGCCTACCATATAGGACCACTGGGATGAATAAAAGAAAGAAAGAGTGAAAGTGCCTAGAGTGAGATAGCAGTCAGTCAATGAATACTGCATGAATATAAACTAGAATTAGGAAGAGAAAAAACACACACCTGTAAACAGTTCTTCTGCTACCCTTCTTTTTTTTCTTTGCTCTGATTGCATTCAATACTTCAGATTTTATTTTGTCTTATATTACACCTTCATAAACTACTTTAATTTTGTTTAGAAGATGTCAGCATACAGATACAATTATTATTTTCAAGAGAAAGAGGAGAACTCTGGCAGCTCTCATATTACAGCTATGTTCTCAGCTGATGAAAGGGTTCTGGTTAAGAGTCCTACTGGACAGTAGAGGGGCCCTGTCAGTTAGTGTATATTCCTATAGTTTCACTATGATTTTAAATGCAGACTTTCCCAAAAGGCAGAGAAAGTGTCAATGTGGACTATTTTTTGTGCTAGCCTCTTTAACTCTGTCATGAAAAAGACTGGACATACTCTGTAAAGTACTAATACTAACTCCACTGTTCTCTAGCAGCCTTCATGAAGGACCTTGGCTCCAGGTCCTCATTTTCTATCAGTGTTAGCTCCTTCCTCACAGCACCACTGCTGCCCTGTGGCTATTACTCATTGGTCCCTCCAAGTATAATGAAGTCACCAAATCCTGCATATTTGTACTCCTTACTATCTCTCTGAAATCCGCCTTCCTATCCACTTCCAGTGCCCATCATATTTTGCATGGATTACTGAACCCGCATCTTGGCTGGTTCCTTTGCATTTGGTCCATTCTACATACAACTGCATGAGTCTCAGACACCTCTACTTCAACAAATCCTTCAGCCTCTTGACTAATGACACAACTTTGAAATTCTGCTGCTTCAACTAAATCAGACAGGTTTCCTAAACCAGATTATAGCTTCTCGATAGTGAAGACATTTCTCTTCTCTTCCTTTATATTCCTCATACAAAGAGTTAATGATGTAAGAATTTATATAATTTAATATTAGATTGGTCATGGTGTGGTTTGTAGGTCTCTGAATCTTACTGTCTGAAGAAGAGAAAATACTATATCTAAGTTTAAGTTGACCTTCAGTCAATTAGAATTAAAATATTTCACAAATATAAAGGAATTGGATATTGGAAAGGATGTTAACAAGGCTATCCAAAAGGTTGATGAGATGTCTTCTAATTGAAAAAACACCCAATCCCCCTCCCCAAAAACAAAACAAAAAAAACAAAAACCAGCCACAAGCATACAAAAATGGTAGCAGAGGAATAGGTATGTGTAATGAAGAGGCCAGGGAAGAACAATCAAGAAGAGAAAAATGGACCATCAGAAACCAAGCCCTGCTCACTGGGGACAATAGCTACCATAACTCGGCTAGTTTTTTGTACATGTAACATTTAGATGACACTATTAAAAATACATAAAACATTATAAAATATATTTGTTTAGATTTTTAGGAAATTATTTTATTAAAGTATAATGTACTACAGAAAATACAGACATCATGAGCATAGAGCTCAAAAACTTTTCCCTATTTTCAACTAGCTACTCATGGGAGATAGGACAAAATTAGACAGGTAAATACCACCCTAAATATTTTAATTACCAGAGTTCAAAGAGTAAGAAAGGTAAAACTTTACCATAAAAACTCTGGACATTATTATATTGATGCCACTGAAAGACTCATCTCTATTGACTCTTTTCCTATAAATGGTATATCACAGAATAAACCTTGAAACAAACCCTGGGAAAGCCTGTAATCTTGTGTAAAATTAGAAGAAAAATAAATATGCCATTCAGTTCTATCTCACTTATCTGAACAAAGCATACGATTGATACTCAGTGAATATTATGTAGCTGTGAAAATGTTGAAAGAGATACGGAATGATAAGTGAGAATTAGTTGGTAGCATAGTTCTAGGTCAGTGCTCTGGTGTTGTTTGAACAAGTATCTATTCTCTTAGAGCAAGCCATTCTGTGCAAACTATGAAAAATAAAACATCAGTTTAATAGTTGTATTCCAAGGATATATAACAAAGATATAGTTCCTTAAATAAGCATAATTGAATACCAAACATGGCATGTTAATACAATGAAAATGCTGTATATTACCTTATCTTTGCGCATCAAAAACAGAAGGTCTTCAGCAGAGATTACCCTTGCTCCCCGGAGCTGGGAAACTTCAGCAGCTTGCTGTAACTAACAACAAAGAGAATTTAGAATTTTTTTCCCTCCATAATCTGAATTAAATATACTACAGTCATGATGTCTCAAGAGAGATAAATATACTAAGAGTTAAAAACCTTTGGGAATAATCTGGCAATCACATTACTGCTTTAAAAAGTGAAATGTCTTATGTTTGAAAGTTTAAAAAAAAAGAGCAATTAAATTAACTCATAAGCCCACCTGTAACTGATAAAATAAACAGAAATCCTTGATTTCTTTCATGCAAAAGAAAAATCATGTGCAGCTTCCAGAAATGCATTAATGCACCTGAAAATAATCTTATGAAATTTTATCCTCATATCCATGTGAGCAATGGTTTCACTCAGTATCACTAGTTGAATAAGTATATTATTAATCTGAGCTCCCATGCTGGTATGATTTGAAATAGGCCCATTCAGAACTTTAAAAGATCAACAAAAACAGTAGCTGTTTCTAATATCCAAAGGAAAAAAAATAGTTTTAGTTTTGGCAAGTCTTCAGTGGGCAAAGGATTCAGTCCATAAATCATAATACTGGACTGCATTAATTTCTTTCCACACTAATCACATGCACACAAAAAGTTAACTGTATCTGGAATGCACAACACAAAACATACTGCATGAAAAGTTAGATTCCCCCTGCAATGTTCATCTGGGCCCTTATATCTACAAAGTTGAGATTTTTCTGGAATTCAGAAATCCTAGAAACACAATCTTACTTGAAAATGACCTGGAAAATAAAAGAATGTGAAAAATGATAGTTCTATTTTTTTGGCAAAGGCAAAATCGGTTTCTTATTTTGATTAGTTGGAAGGAACATAAAATACGTCCAGATGAAAAAAATAAAGATGCTGGAGAAAACACTACAAATATGTGCCTGTAACTTCTTCCAAATTTGATCAAACCGTGGTGATTGCACCACATCATCTCTGTCCAATATTATAAAAATATTTACATATAAAGGCGGTTCCTAAATGCATTCTTCTTTGAAAGGAATAAATCTAACATATTCCTGAGAACTAATCTTTAAAAAGTGACATACTGTTATCTTAACAATTATAAGGAATCAAATAGTGCATTTGTTCTAAAGAAATTCTGCTCAAATGTTTAAGCGATTTTGCTAAGTAAGCTTCAAACCTTGTCTAAATACACAGACTACAAAATAGACTATAAACTCCCTATGTGTCAGCCTTACCACTGAATTTCCTGGATACTGGTGGTTGGTATATAAACATAATTCTACCTAAATATAGAAATTTAAATTTAACTGTGAGCCATTTAAAAAGAAATCTTGGGGGAAAGGTTTTAAAAAGATGATGTATCTACTCAGAAACTAAAAGTTTTCAGCAGGAAAAATTTGAACATATTTTTCTAAAAACTGGAATAGTGTCAGGGAAATGTTTTTTTCAAATAAAAACATTTCTATCACAGTATAAAATACACACAATCAGTGTGGAGAAGAACATGGGCCCAGTATCCATTTAAATGTGTGGACGTATATAGAGAACCAGGAGGCAACCTTGTCAAGTAACTTCGTATTTTCTTTCACGAAGGATGGTGAGGATTTGACAACTGTAAAGTACTATACAGACAGAAGTACTTTCACCTATGTTAAGAAAGGATCAGAAGTATATATCCCAGAAGAGTTTTCCCAACAAATCGTTTACAAATACTACGTATCAATAAATCATCTGTATTTATAATTCTCTTCAAAATGTCAGTTTACAAACACATTAACCAGGAAAAGACAGAAAATGGAAAATAAAGACATAGGAGAGTTAGACATTTAAAACACCTATGAAAACCAGTAGACGATGACTGCAGGGATCTGGAACTTATGTCCTGGTATGTGGTCATAATTTTCAGGAAAATTTAACTTTAGTTTTCATCTATCTGATGCACTAATTTCCTTCACCTAACTTCGTGCCCTTACTAGCACTGGCACTGCTAGAATTCTCCTAATATGCCCTGGACTTTCAAGAAGTGATTCCTTAGGACTGAATGTGATCACTGTGTTACTTCACCAAGGCTACCTGCCTCGATGTGCCTCGTGCTCTAAAATTAGCCCTCCCAAAATCTGACTTCTACAGAGCGAGGCGAGCAATTTTATCAGGTAATTGCAGTGATCACACTGTAAACATGTGTATTATGCACTGGCTTCCTTCTAGAAATTTTTGTCCATGCCTACCCGAAAATAAAGAAATTCCTCTTTAACAATATAAAGCTTAAAAAGCTCAAAAAACAGATTAGCAGCTTGTCAGTCCAGTTCCACAGAAAGCTGAGCTCAGATTTGGTGTCTTTCATGTGAAAGCAATTCTCGAGTCAGGAAACCAAAATCATAAAATATTCCTAATAACTTCCGTGTTAAAAAAAATTGATTCTATATTCTATGCAATCCCTCGACTTCTCAATCTTTGAAACTAAATGGAAGTTGTACTTACTTCATTACTCACTGTTGCATGTTAAATATTTCTGGAAGTAAGTAGAATAACATGAAATAATGGTATACTTCACAATTTTTTATTTATAATGAAAATAATATACACTGAATTGTGATATAAAATATGCAAGAAATAATGGGACACAAAAATATTTTAAGAAAAATCACTAGTAGGATGAGTATTCAAACTTCCCTTTTTAACTTCTTTTCAGCGTAACAGTATTCATTGTTTTTGCACAACACCCAGTGCTCCATGCAATCCGTGCCCTCCATAATACCCACCACCTGGCTCCCCCATCCTCCCACCTCCCGCCCCTTCAAATCCCTCAGGTTGCTTTCCAGAGTCCATAGTCTCTCATGGTTCACCTCCCCTTCCAGTTTCCCTCAACTCCCTTCTCCTCTCCATCTCCCCTTGTCCTCCATGCTATTTGTTATGCTCCACAAATAAGTGAAACCATATGATAATTGACTCTCTCTGCCTGACTTATTTCACTCAGCATAATCTCTTCCAGTCCCGTCCATGTTGCTACAAAAGTTGGGTATTCATCCTTTCTGATGGAGGCATAATACTCCATAGTGTATATGGACCACATCTTCCTTATCCATTCGTCCATTGAAGGGCATCTTGGTTCTTTCCACAGTTTGGTGACCGTGGCCATTGCTGCTATAAACATTGGGGTACAGATGGCCCTTCTTTTCACTGCATCTGTATCTTTGGGGTAAATACCCAGTAGTGCAATTGCAGGGTCATAGGGAAGCTCTATTTTTAATTTCTTGAGGAATCTCCACACTGTTCTCCAAAGAGGCTGCACCAACTTGCATTCCCACCAACAGTGTAAGAGGGTTCCCCTTTCTCCACACCCTCTCCAACACACGTTGTTTCCTGTCTTGCTAATTTTGGCCATTCTAACTGGTGTAAGGTGGTATCTCAATGTGCAAACTTCATTTTCTTAACTATATGGATAAAGGTATGGTAATGTAACCTTGAGTTATTTATTAGCAACTTAGTAAAATATTGTGCTACAAGACATTATTATTTTACCACAACACCAACTCATGTACAGAATGTTTTTTCTGATAAATATTTGTTCTTCAAAGTAAACAAAAAATAATATAATTTATAACAACTGTTTAAAAGACAAAAGTGGGGTGCCTGGGTGGCTCAGTGGGTTAAAACCTCTGCCTTTGGCTCAGGTCATGATCCCAGGGTCCTGGGATCGAGCCCCGCATGGGGCTCTCTGCTCAGCAGGGACCCTGCTTCCCTTCCTCTCTCTCTGCCTGCCTCTCTGCCTACTTATGATCTCTGTCTGTCAAATGAATAAAAAAAATATTTAAAAGACAAAAATTTCCTTTGCATAACTCATCATGTTTGCATTTTAAAATATTTTATGACACTTTATTTGGAAGTTGGGCATAAAAAGTCCTTAAAAATTTACATGTCATCTTAAATGCCTCATCTTTGATCCCGCAAATAAATCTCTTCTTAATTTCTCATTGTTGTTAATGACACTAACATTCAAACTCATTTTGTTTTCCTCCTTCTGCTACCTTTCCACTAACCTCTATTGATATGGTTGTTTTGTTTTACTCTGTTCATTTGCTCTTGAATTTGCTCTCTACTTAGTATTTACCCTAATCTAGGCTTGTGGGGCTATCTGTATACTGGTTTCAAAATTTCAATGTCTCCAAATTGTGATGCAACCCAGATTTAAGTGCTAAAACGATCTTGCTCAAATATAATGCCCGTAATTCTTTTTCCAGGATCTATGAGAAGTCATGATTATCTAACTTCAGTGTGGTCTTTAAAGCCTGACTGACTCACAGATTTTCACTACACCTTCATTCTCATTATATTTCTTTTTTCCCCCCTCATATTATTCTACAGTTAAACTCCAATAATTTCAATTATATTTTCATACTTTTATGCATTTTTAATGATTAATTTTTTAAAAAGATTTTACTTATTCACTTGTTAGACAAAGAGAGAGAGAGAGAGTGCACACGCAGGGAGAGCAGCAGGCAGGGGGAGAAGCAGGCTCCCCGCTGAGTAAGGAGCCTGATGTGGGATTTGATCCCAGGACCCCAGGATCATGACTTGAGCAGAAGGCAGACACCTAACCCATCGAGCCACCCAGGCATCCTATGTAATGATTAATTTTATGTGTCAACTTGACTGGGCCATGAAGTGCTCAGACATTTGGTTGAACATTATTCTGGGTGTGACTATGAGGTATTTCTGAGATGAAATTAATATGTGAATAGGTAAAATAAGTAGACTGCCCTCCCAAATGTGGGTAGACCTCATCCTATCAGTTGAAGAACTGAATAGAACATTATCACCTCACAACTATCAGAATAGCTAAAATCAGAAACACAAGAAACAACAGGTGTTGTCCAGGATGTGGAGAAAGGGGAATCTTCCTGCACTATTGGTGGGAATGCAAATTGGTGTGGTTACTCTGGATAATAATATGGAGGTTCTTCAAGAAGTTAAAAATAGAACTACCCTATGATCTGATTGCACTACTAGGTATTTACCCAAAGGATACAAAATA